AAAGATATGTATTTGAATTTATTCTTAAACACATAAGCGAAATTGGAAGAAGAAAAATATTCAATAGTGGAATAAATTTCGATAAGTGGACAATTTAATACTGGGAAAAGTAGCATCAGATAAATGAATTTCAATCACTGGGCACTATAAAGAGATTTTTAAATAGAAAAATCAGTGTTACGAATTGCTTTTCTATCGCTCCCTAGAGTAATTTGTCATCAAAGCTATTTTCCACACACCAAGCAAATTTTAATGAAAATTCTTCGACATCAGATAACAAACTCATATTGTCATCCCTAATATCGTGTCAATCTTTTATTTTCGCATTATTGGCTGTTGCTGATAAGCATTGCACATATTATCGCTCAGTTTATTACATTTATAAATATAAAACGTACAAAAGTGCAGGTCATTTCTTGAGATTCTCATTTTATAACTAAATTGATAATGAAAACTTATATGGCGCAGAAATCAAAAGCCAAAAATCCAGATTTTTCACTCGCAAAATATTAATTTTTGTATAACTAGTCTCCTAATTCATTGCTACAATGAGCAGATCTCTTATGATAATTTATCATAATGTATCATATCATTCTTCAGTATCTAGCAAATCTTAAATCATCTAAAACTCAAAAAGTCTACTTTGCCAATCAAATAAAAATTAATCAATTAAAATTAAGCAACTTTAATTAAATAAAGTTAAGAACAGATGTGCGCAACAGTACGAAGTAAACGATGGTGCAAATGGTGGAGTCGAACAATTTTTACAGGTTGCCTTTTGTGTTTACACTTTAAATCTAGTTTTACAACTTTTTATTTCTTGTTTTCAATTATGAAACACGGGACTTAGTTTTGAATTTGATATTATAAATGTCGCCTAGTTTTGAATTTGATATTATAAATGTCGCCTTTGTTATGATAGAGCTAAGGAATCGATTTTTAACAGTGTACTAATTCGAATATTCTTGCATTTCACTTATCAGTCCTGGAAAATTCTACTGTAATTATTTTTGCTTGTATTATTTGAATTATAAAAATAGGGGAAAAATTTTTTCCTTCCAAATTTCTAAGTTGCCAAAGAATTGAGGACGGAAAAATGGAAAGGAACTGAGCTTACCTCATACCAAGCATTTGTTGAGTTTTGTTTATCAATAGTACATCTTTTATCACCCATTACTGACCAGTGCTGCAACTTGGCAATATAAATGTGTGAATTTTCCAATCTCTTATAAAATGGCTACTATAACCATTTAACAAAATAAGATGAAATTTTCTAGATCTTTGTCCAAATCTTCGAAATCAAATATGTATTTTTTTATTCAATCTCTCCGCTGATCCCTCAATTTCCGTTGAATTTCAAAAATAGTTTGGGAAATAAAAATTCCAATCTATCAGTTTAATTTTAAAATTTAAAGTTCAAAGTCCAAAATTTATTACAATTCATTAATTCATAAGTCCATTTTCACTGTTCATTCTGAACTGCAACAACAATCAAAAACAGTTGCATGTATTTCAATCTAACTGTAGAAATGTTTCCGGATAATAATTTTTATATTATAGTACTAAAACTTAAAGTGGTAATCTAAAAATTAAGGCTAAATTTAACGGACAAAGTCGAGAACCACAATATTGAACTAACTTCCAAAACTGGTTGGAAATATTGCAAAGTTGTTGTTCTTGACCCACTGGGCACTATAGCTGATTGGTATGACATTTTTGTTATTCAAGAAGCAGTCATTCGCTAATTAATACGGTGCAAAATTTGCTACCAGTATTTCTTGAACTACAAGTCAAATTCCTGGCTTAACCCGACAAATGAATCTTCCTCTTTTTTTTCTGATAAATTCAGATGTAAAAAAGTTTGCTATCTTTTATCACTATCAAATATTTTCTTTTCGTTAAATGATAGTCGTTTGTAATTCTTTTTGCTGATTTTGCTTGCATCAGTATTTTGTTCATAATTGCTGACTTTTGAAATGTTGCAAATGATTCAAAATTTGAGCTAAACCTGTGAAGCCGAACTTAAATTTTGAAATTTGACTGGAACATATCCAAAAAGGTGCATTAATTTGTAGCAATCAGTACACTTATTTCCAGGTTTTGGCAACTTGCATAAAACTTTTTATTGTCATACAAGTACTAATAAGCAGCAGAAGATGTAGAGAAAGTTTAAGTACATAACGAAACTGTGATAGGGTCAAAGGAATTCTGACAAGAAATATTGATGTGCAAATTTAGTGCATCTGAATCTCCTAGAAAATCAAAACTGAGGTAAATGAAATTATAGCTAAATAATTTTTCTCATTACTTCTATCTGTTTTTAAAAGTTAATGAAATCAGCATTTTATGTTTCTATTAGGAATGTAGCTCAGACAATTACATTGGAACTTAACCTTACGATTCCATTTCATAGCAATGCTCTAAGTTCATTCTCATACTGTCCATTATCAGTACTAGAATAGAATTAGATTCTAGAAAAATTAGGTCTGAGGTAGAAAGCTAACTCATGAAGTCAATAAGTGTTCATTTTCTGAAATTATTCTTAAATTATTTATGCTGAGACAAAAGCGAGAAATCTTGAATGAATTATGCTGTTGAAAGCGCTGAACTCTATTTCGAACAAATATGCTGTATATATTGAAACGAACTGTATGATATTCCAATAAAAGCTTTCATTGAAAATTTACTATAAACACTTGATGTGGATGAATGGATGGAGAATTGATGGGAACTGCAATTTGTAACATTCCACAGCAAACGCCTACTCTTAGCTTCATCGGTTATTTTTTCACGGTTCCTTCCTTATTTCCGTCTCACCTCATCAATTTCCTTTTTGCTGAATATTCTTAACTGCTGGAATATCTTTCCTCCTATTATGAGCAAATTTATATTTCATTCAGTTGCACAAACAAAACTATTCTTGTAGATACAACTAAAACTACCACACATCAATGTACAACTATAAGCATTAGCAATAGAGAAATGAGATCACAGCTTGATGATTATTTTTTTAAAAAAGGTTACTACAACATCACTGGGAGGGCGAATAACAGGGGAATGGTTCAGACAAAATGAGCCACAATTTATCAGTTATCGGTAGCAATAAATAACAGTAACAATAGTGATAATAATAATAGCAGTAATTAGTAAAATACTAATTTGATATCCTATCATCCAAGGAAATTTATCGTTACCACTGTACGTTCAACGGATCATCCGATTTATAAGCAGCAGAATATTTTGGTAGGTTCCACTGGTTCTCCGGTTCATCACGTTGATGTTGGATGGCACCATAACCCCGTTGTTGTGATATATCGAGATTTTGTCCGATAATACCGTCATTACTACTACCATTGATATTGAATTGTGCTTGTTGTTTTTGTTGCTGTTGTTTCTCTTCAAATGGCTGGTATATATAGACCTGTCTCAAAACTGATAATACCGGTGCATAAGCTAAATTCAGAACACAAATAATAATATTTAGGGCTAAGAAACCCATCGTTGCGACAATCTCGCCAGCAATAATCGGCCCAAATGCATATGCCAAACTGTAGGAAATATCAGCAATCGCGTAGACACTACCATAAACACTGACATGACGTGTGTCAACTAAGTATCCGAGCATTGGTAGTAACGATGTGTCAATTAGCGCAATTCCGAAACATAGTGTTGATAAGGGCAGGATCAGTTGAAGAACGGAGTTGGTGAATGGTATCACGAAACAACTCAAGCCTTCCATGGCTAAGCCGATCGCCGCCAAAAGCCACTCTCTTTGCGGATAACGGTGCATGAGACAGACGGTGATGTAAACACCCAGAACATGTGGGAAGAATGGTGGGAACCATATGATACCAACCATCCATGCCGGAGTATCCGGGATAGCGCCGGTCATCCATGTTGTGATCGTGGGTTCTAAGAATGCTAAACTAATATTTGCCATGATAAGGGCACCTGAACAGATAGCAATGTATTTGTCCATAAATAGACGCCACATTGGTGTTCCCTGTATTCGTTCACCGGCTGTATTCACTTGTTTGTTATTGGCTTTCGGCTGAATGACCATGAAAACCATGAACCCATCAAAAAGACATATCAAGGATAAAATCAGGAATGGTATCGGTTTCCCTGCTAGTGAATACAGGACAGAGCCGTAAGGCGGTGCCACTAAGCTACCGAATGATATGAATGCCAAAGCAATACCAAGCGCCGCTGATCGTTCGTTTTCTTCTGTAAAACGATCAGCAATCATCGCAAGACCAGAAGTATCAGCAAATGCGGAACCAAATCCCTAAAACTGATTATTTAAATAACTACATCTGATACATTAATAGAGTAACTTTTAATGAATTATCTTATGTCTTTTATTTTTTAAATTTTGGACATGGTAACATGTTTTTTCTCCAAACTGTATAATTTTCCAAGAAATAAAGTTTAATGAGAAAATACTGTGGACTTACTTGTAATGATCTGGCGAAAAATAAGACACCATAGCTTCGTCCCAGTGCAAAAATAGCTGTTGAACTGAACATTACGCATAAACCGATAACCATGGGGAACTCATAACCAATGCGGTCGATAATATACCCGGAAAATGGATTGACGAAAATCTGAATAAGTGCTTTCGATGCAAATAGCCACCCAAGTCCAATATCCTCATTCAAATAGTCAATTTCACCACCGGTCATGCGAACAACGATGGTACCATTTTTCAACTTCTTCGTTTCGTTATGGTACCCAACAAATTGCACATCATAAGCGTGGATATCCCGGAGGTATTTCGGGATTATCGGTACAATCACCATATAGAGCATGTTGTCGAGCAGCAGAGCAATAGAAACAATCACAAGTACCAGCTTTTTTTGTATATGCGGCTCTTTGATCCTTTGATCCAACCATTCACGACACCAGTCACTATCACGATTGATGATTGGTACATTGAAACCCATTATTTAAGTTAAGTTCTTCCCACCACAATCAGTACCAAAAATAATAGCAGTGAATTAAGCCAGCAGAAAAATGAAGGAATTGATTGAAACAGCAGAAACCGTTACTGGGATTGAATATGTCTTAAAAAAAAAAAAATTCCCCAGTCGGGTTAGAATTGTGCGTTAGTAAATTGGAATTGATTTTATGAGGACGATTTTCCTTTTTTCCTCCGTTTTACTCCTCCTTCTCCTCCATGTTGTCCCCTTGTTTTCCTTATAAGAGGCGTGCTTTCATCAGTTACAGCTGATGAATGGGGCGTGTTAATGTTATAAACTTTTCTCACAAATTATTGCTTGAAACAGGAAATTTAAGGATTTATATAAATGGCGTTTCCTGAACTGACTTATATAATAGCGATAATTGACACACCGATAAAGTCTTCTTGAATTTGCAGACCGGAAACCAAAAGTTACCCCGAAATCGAATCAATTTAGTGAGTTCCAAGTATGATATTGGATTCAGGTTTCGGAATCTTAGTTTCAAACGGTGGCTAGTTGTTTTATCACCGAGTTTGTATGCATTTTCGCCCATACATCCCTAAAATATGTTATTATCACTTTGCAGTTGCAGTCGCTTGCTAATAGCAGGTTGCATGTCGTAAATTGTTAGCTATTTCACTTTGTTAAATTACTGCTAAAAAAGTAGTTTGATTTCTAACATTGAAATTATTTTAGAGAAGCTTAAATGAGAAAAAATAAACGTCGAGTGCTAAGCTATTGTACATTGGAAAACTATTCTGATCAACAATTAAGTGAAGGCAAACAATCTTCCAAGGAATAATCAGCTTTGAGTCTAAACCGTTCCTACCTATTCTGCTTTCAATTAGCCAAATCCGAATAATCCGGATTCTAGAAAGCAAAGTACTGCAATTGTCCAATAAGCTAAGGAAACGCTAATATGATGGTTAAAGCTTTGAAAGAAATTTTCTAAAACACAAAATTCCACTACTTTTTGCAGTGGAATTATGAAGTTTCATCTGTTTCATGTTAGTCTTAAATATTATCATTTTCAGTCAAATCGAAAAGCTGAAATGCACGAAGTGTGCTTCGGAATTTAGACTTGAATTTAAATTAAAACACAGCACATAGGCGATTCATTTATTTATTTGGATATCTTGTGAAACTCCTGAAACAGGAGATAGCAAATCAAACTAACGTTTAGTATGGTGTCACTTTTTCCAAGATATTGGAAAACAAATTGATTATGAAAACACTGCTATTGCAACTGTGAAATAAAATTTGCTACATTAGTAACTACTGCATGGTTCAGTCTCAGAATAAGAAATAAATCTGACAAATTTTAACTTTTAAAAATTTAACAATTTAATCTTAAAACTTCCCTTAACAATCTCCTATTTAAAAATTTCTTGCTATTCTTCTTACTACAGGAAACGGTTTGTGAGGGAGAAAATAAGATAATGGAAACACCAAGTTGCATAAATTCTGTATTAGATTTCAGATGTTAAATTACAATCAAATTTCGCATGTTAAATCTTCATTAAAAAGTTATATTTAATTTTAAACAAAAAAGTCAGAACTTCCCAGACATTCCTAAGTAATCGGGAAATATCGACGACACGAATTTTTATACATCTTGATCTACCCGGTGAATCATCAGCGATCTCACAAAGCGTAGAGATGTAAAACAGACAAATTCCTTCCAAAATTAAAAAATTTTCTCGATTTCTTTAGTGTACAAATTATAAGCATTGGTTCTCGTCTACAAATTTTTGATGTTCTCTCTGATTGATACATACCTTTCTGATGAAAATTTAAGTACTCATGTCCTTTCTTGCCTTTTTTTTCTTACAAAAAATAAGTTGAATTTCTCCTGAAGTAAAGATAATATTCTGTATTCTACTGCAACGAATCATGGATTAAAATTAATGGTTGTAGGTAATTGAAATTTGTGATGCTCAAGATTAGGAAGCGAAAATTAAAATCAATTAATGAGACCACTTTTTAATCAGAAACGGTTATCACTGGTTAAAAAAATTAACAAATTTTCTCTAAACATTTGTCTCATTGTAGGTTTTAAATGTTACCTTTCTTTGATTGAAGAACAAGTAATATCGATTTAGTGACACTAGAACTGTTGGTAGCGCTCTGTCTGTATCGACTGCAAGATATTCAGGTATTATCTTTACTTCAATATCCAAACTCGATTGAAAAATTATTTGATCGGATCGATTGTTTCCTAGAGAAAAAATGTATAAAGTCAATAACACAATCGTGTGAAATGAAATATATGCACAGCACGAAATTTTTATTGTGGAACTCAGAAATGAAAACTTCCTAAGTAACTTCTATCTTATCTGATACGATGCTTCTTCAATGCTGACAAGAAGAAAAAGGTTAAATTAAAGTAAAATGAAAATGAGGGTGAAAGATCGAATGTCCCTGCAGTTAACATTTGATTTTGTAATACAGAGTAAAACATGAACTAAGACATTTTGATCAGCATAATATCACTTCAGTGAAATCAACGACATCTAATAATATTGAAATACATTAACTTTAGAAATGTTCATGTCAACTTAGTAGTTCTTCCTAATCTGTAGTTTAGATCATATCGATAAATAAGTGTGGCTCACAAATAAATGTAAGTATAGAAAATTTTATAATACTTGAATAAAGTTTGTTAATAGTGAATTGAAAGTAGAGATTTAATGGTTTAATTTGATCTCCAGTTGCAAAGATACAAATCAATCTGTAGAGAATTGATATGTGTTAATGAGCGTTCTCTACTCAACTAAATCATCTTTTAAAGTTCTCCATTTAGAATCCGTCGAGGATGATGTAAGATTTCTTTATAAAGAGTTCTAGAAAACAATAATTTGGTCATTCTTTGACAATAATTTACTATTGAGATTAATTTGGAATGGATTGTGACTAGTTAGGTAATCTGATGCAATTTGAAATTTTTACAGGCTTCTGTTTTCAATCGTCGCTATATCGATATGAGAAAAGAAAGATGCGAAATACTGAGACTTGTAATATATGAGTATGACAATTTTCGTAAAGAACTATAATTTATAGAAAATGAAAACCGATACTCTCATATATCGCAGGTGAAGCAAAAGTTATTGTGAATCTACTCAATATTATTGGAATATACCAATAATGCTTCATTCCAATAAAATGTCCAGGCCTTACTATTTTAAACAATTTTTTTTTATTTGAGTATTTAGGGAAGTTTATTAGAAAGCGTAATAAATATTGTCAAAACCAATAGCTACAAGTGAAATTTATCACTGAATTCATACCACCTAGACATTATATACTTAGATTTTATTTGAATAATTTCACTTCGATGCTTTTTTCGTATACGATGTCTTTGTGTTTGAATGACACATCCATTTATAAATTATATTTGAATGCTAATTTCTTCCTGCTATGAATTTTAATAAAATTATCTATGGAGATTTAAAATTGTTTGAAATACCTCCATTGATCCTTCCAGTAGAATTATCATTTGTTTTAATTTATTTCGAAAGATCGGTTAGAAAAGTTAGTCATAAGCAGATATTATTCGGATTCAATTTACCTGTTATTTAGTAGAGTTCAAAATAGCACTCTGAAAAGCTCATCCAGAATTAAGATATTTGGCGTCATTTGCTTTGTAAAATTTTGTTCTAAATTACTTAAATTTTTTTTTAAAAAAAAATTATTATAGCAAAACGTGAAGTATCAAATTTATTTTAATACAATAATTAAATTTAAGCGCTTTCCATCCTGCTTCTTCTTTTCTCCTCATAAATGTGTGTTTTTTGCAGCACGGGAGTTTTAACTAAATTCATTTTTTTTTTTAAGTTTAATTTTTGAAATGTTATGTGTCTTCTATTCAGTTCGAAGGGTAGTAATTAAAGCCAAAGAACGTAGAGCGTAAAGCATAAGAATAGAAAATGAAAATTGATTTGGAAATCATCGATCAGTATTTCTAGAAAATATTATTTCAGGTACAGTAGTCTTTTGGTTTACGGTTCCTCAAGCTTGTGTTGAATTGTATACAGAGTTAATAGCTGTATGTTTTTCATGCCATTATTTGAAATTCTAAAAAATGGAACTTTATTTGAAAAACCTGAAGAAATACAAGGGGTTTTAGTAAAAATAAAAAAAGATATGAACAACATGAACCAGTTGAAAAGTTTTTTAAAGAGATTATTTATATAAATTTTGGAAAAAAAAATCTGTTGAAACCAAAACTTCGAAATTATCAGTTAACCAGTTACTGTGATAAGCTAAGGTACTTTATTAGTTTACATCTTTTGAGTAATTCCATCCTGAAAAGATACGGAAGGAACTTGTGCACACACGTATGAATGTTTGTTTGTACATATGCATGTGTCCTTGTCTTTTAACTTCCCATTGCGCAATTGCTGTTGAAGTTCGTGATTCTTATGAAAGAGAAAACCTGTTTCGGTTTTATTTCAACCATAAATTTCAACTTTCTGTGTTGGTAAATGATGAAATAGAAGAGAGGGAGAAAGAGAGAAAGGAAGAAAGAGAAGGGGAGGAGAAAGAAATCTTATTTTACAAGCATGATTCGATTTTATTTGTTCGGTTGAGAATTGAAAAGAAAATAGAAAAAGGAAATATTTGAGAAGAGAAAAGCTATATTGTAAATATATATGTTTTATTTAAAGCTTTGTGCTAGCTTTTTCCAGTCAATCTTCATTTGAAAACTGCGCAATTCGAAAAACGGCATTAAATTTCAATTGAAATTGGAAAAGATAGAGGAAAATTGGTTCTTTTTTGGAATACATCAAATCAACGCATATTTTTGCTGCAATATTTTCCTCAAGTTATTTTGAAAAAATGAACAAAAATGAGACTTTAAGTGCAAGCAATAAAAGACATTTGTGCATGTTATAAAGAAAGCAATAAAAGTAAAATAACAGCAACAACAATAACAACAACATAGCTACAGGCAGGGAACAATACGAATGACATTGGTAATGATAGCAAGAATGATAGTGTTAAACGGTTAATTAATTTAACACTAAATTAGTTGTGGATTTATTATAGATCTCTGCCAATGGCAAGAGACATAGCCATACGTTTGCTTGCTATTAATTTGCATATGTAAAGGAAAGGTCTCATAAAAGGTATCCACGACAACGAATGACATGTAAATTTTTAAAAAAATGCATCACATTTTCACGTTATGGAGTCATGCAAAAGATAGCATCAGATGAGCTCCACTAATGGAATAACAATGTGACCTAATCAGGCTTCAAAGGTTTTTTTCAGCCCGGGTGGCAAAAATTCTGAGTCTTAATAAGCGACCTCGATCATCTTTATCCACTCGAAATTACTGCGCATAATTCAACGAATCATTACAAGAGAGAATCAGAAATAAAAAATTCAAATAATTTCAAAATAAGCAAGTTCTGAGAAGGAAAAAACACAACGGAAAATAAAAATAATAACAAGAAATTGAGACTATGACCTCATTAAGAAAAAAATCCAATGAAAGACTAAATGCTATAAGAATGAGCTCAATTAAGCTGGCATAATTATTTGCGGGCG